AATGAACAACAACTATCTCACTCTAAAACCGGAATATTCACAATTTCATCTGATTATTTCTACCTATATACAAATCACGCAGTTAACTAGGTGATACGAAATCAATTAGATCATTGTTTAGATCCTTTATCAACTCCCGTACCATGTGTCATAGATTGAATCACAGGTTCATCATGTTCTCCGAGGAGCGGAAAAGTGATAGGTTACAAAGAATAGTCGACAATTAACATACAAAACGGAAAAAGAGAAATGACGAATATTTAAGACTCATTGGTTCTTCTCCATCTTATTTAACAATTCCTTATTTATAAGAACCGCGTATCAAAACAAAAATCAATTCAAAATCCAAACCCTTTCTTACTATTTATTCATGAGAACCTCTCATAGTCCAAGTCAGTCTCATAGTAAAGTATGTATTTAACGAATCCGCAAACCAATAGACATTTAAACTCAAAATCCTTAAAATCAAAAAACATAATCGGTGATTAATTGATTATTACCCACTCTTAATTCAACATCGATAGCTAAATCGTCGGAATCACGATTTAATCACATTTCCATTTTATCTATCGATGGATCGGCGTTGGATTGTTTTTTTCGGGGGAATGTTTTTATTATTTAAATGGTTTCTCCCTGCCTCCCAGCGGCACAGTTTAATTAGGTAGCAAGTAACCAGTGTAGGTACCAGGCTGATACATCTGAGGACCTTGAGGAGATTGATCCGTAATTAGTTTACTGATCCGAATGCTAATTGAGTGGACAATAGCTATAATTTACTGTGATCAATTTGCTGGTGAATTCCAGGTGGAATCAATGGAACTCCATCTATAAAATCTACGAATATGTGAAGACAGTCCTGAGCCAAAGAAGAAACATCTAATTGTTTGTTTTAATTGAATATACTCTGAAGCTACTGAAACGATTTAAAAAATTCTCTCCTTTTTGGAACACTTACTCTTCTGGGAGTATCATAGGCTTTATTTTTATCCTGATATTTCCGCAGGATGGGGGCCCAATTTTAATCTTTTAAATTAAAGCGAGCGACACCACAGAAGGGAAGCTAGGGTGTAATACTTATCTTTACTAATATTATAAAGCTAAAGAGTTTGCTTTTTTGTTTGTTTGTTTGTTTGAATGCGCTAATCTCCGAAACTACTTATCCGATTTGAAAAATTCTTTCTGTGTTGGATAGCCCATTTATTGAGGAAGGTTATAAACTATAAAATATCACGGTACGATTAATAGGCGCCCAGCAGAGCGAGTGAAATCGCGCGGAAGTCGCTAGTTCTAAATATGTACGCAAATAGGTACCATATAGGTCAAATGTTTTAAAATCGGCTTAAATCATTAAGGTAGAGCTTTCTCGTGTGCCCATAAATTCACTAGTTTTCTCGAACATCACTGAAACAAAGCATACTGTTTGACCGCGTGATAAATATAGCACTCCAATAGACGAGTTAATTCACAGAACAATCCAATTTCTGTCTTTCATTAATTTACTTAAGAAAGTATATTAAGTACACAAACGTTAAAGATTCGTCTATGTTTTCATCTAATTCGGTTGAGCCTGTTAGGTGAAGTCAATTGACTTATATATAAATACTTGTATATTATTTATATGAAACAACTATCACTCAAATTATAATCATATCTTGACTTCATAATATTTCGACAATCTCATTCTGTAGGTATTCTCTTTTCCTTATTTATTCTAGTTACATATTATTTCCTTCTATACTTCGTCCCGATATTTTAGATTAATAACAGTGCTTGTTGAACGATACCTACTGACGTTTGAACTATCCTTATTATATTGGCTGTACCTATATACATATAAAATATACACATAAAAAAAAAAACTATGTAAATCGATTATTAAGGAATAAATGAGGCTTTATTATTATATATTATTATATTATATACATATAACCTCACGCCTGTCTCCCATGGGGGTAGGCAGAGACTGTAGGTACGATCATATAAAACTTGAACTTAACCCTGCTTAATGCTTAATTAACTCCTTAATCCTAAAAACTGACACCACATTCCAGTTTTCTCCAACTTAGTATTGATTTCCTTTTGAAATATCTCCAAGCAAATATCCGCACCATGTTTATTTATTTATTTTCTATAACAAAAAGGATCGCGATACATAAATTTAACTTTTCAGTGAGTGTCCACGAAAGCGATCGGCATCTTCTATTAAAACCTTCGTCAAGTCCGCGCATAGCAAAAGCGTCATCCCTTTCATGCGATGGGAGTACATTTGTACCTGTTCTAACGATACTAAAAGCTATTTTTTGTTTGGCTTTGTGGACAAACTTTAGGACGGTCTGGTTGTAATTCCGCATTAACTTTTATAAAAAGGTTAGATTTATGATATAGTTTTCTGTGGAATACAATAAGAACCTTGTTTTAACAGACTGTTAGTGAATATTACGTAATTACAGTTAATTGCATGTCGGTTACATTGCAGATAGAAACTCAGAGATCCGGTACTTGACAAGACGGTGTTAGTTTCTCAATACACGTAGTGTAGCGCACATACATAAACCGTACATTACACAGATGAAGTTGGATAAGGACACGATCGCCTGCAGTGTGCGCAGCGCGCTGGGATTTCATCCGAACATAGCCCCCAATCACCACCGTAAATAATAATATATTATTCACCAAGGCCATACTATACAACCTAAAACTTATACCTAAGAACGGACTTTTGCAGCGCTTTCTCAATATTCAATTCCGTGTTTAAACAAAGAAATTGGATTGTACGAAACGATTATACTCGTGCAGCAAAATCTTGCAATTTGAATTATTGATGAGGTTATGACGTAACTTAAGTATTAGCTGTGCCAATTTATAGAAGCAAAGGTTTCAAGGAAACTCAGCATGTGCATTAAAAATGATTAAAGGTAAGAAAATGTGTTAGAAAATAATTTTGTCTGATTCAATTGTTAATTATAATGATACATCATATATACATCATTCGCAAATTTTTTAGTCCAATATGAAAACACAATTTTATTTCTGGTTAAAATTTATGTTAAGTAAACTAATTTTGTCTGTAAGTATTGCACTAATGTGAAAAGAATAAAAATCCATTGGAGTGCTTATACTGGAGCCAAGAGAAACAGATGTCGTGCCAATTTCAACTTTTGAAGTTTTAGTTCCGAACTTTTGAATAAAAGAATAAGAATTATTTGTACCAGTAGTGTAAATGTAAAATAATTATTTATACAATATATTACATGTATTAGTGACCAGCATAATACAGTAGATAACTATTCATCTCTAATGTATTCTGTGAATTTAATAGATGCATCATATTATGTTACATAACGTATGCACATAGGTAATAGAGATATCCATCACCAGAGATACATTGAGGTCTTGTGCTAACTGTATTTGTTATCATAATATTGTGATGCCGTTCCAGCAGCATTTAATTGAATGGATAAAACAAGAGTGCATGTAGCGAGCTACTGAACTGGCGAGCACCGACGTCTCCGTATCTTGTGTATCTGTCTGCCTAGATTTTCAACCGCACCTAATCTAGATAACAGAATTGAATTTTAATTCAATTTCCCAACGAAATAATTGTGTTTAACAGTTCTGAGCAACTGTAACTCGCTCGTACTGAATTCATATTGTATCAGTGTGTTCGGATAACTAACCAGGCGGCAGATAGACGTAATTGACTTGCATGAGACAGCTATTGTGATTTCACAAGATATCTATGTAGGTAATACTATTACTTCTGCTATCAGATATCCGATGTCTGGCAAAACGTTCAAATTTATCTATAAGATTTAGACTTTGAGACGAATTTAGATAACTAGATATCTTTATAAACACCAACAATGATAAGAAAGTCGAGATATGTCCTAGAAGACTTGCATAGTGTTTACATTTTTTGTGAAAGCATCGAGTGTTGAGAATTTGCCAACAAATATTGTTACTAAGAACGCAGTAGGTATACATGTAGAGAATTTTCAAATATAGAGCCGACGCGTGGTGAATGACCGATAAAGGTTCAACAGCTGCTGCTTGGACAGGGAATATTACCTTTAGCACGAGGTAGATTCATGGCATCGTCGTTAACGATGTGGGTAAAGCCCTTTCATTGACTCGGGTCGCTACCCGTCGCCTGACTTTTTACAACACGACCTCAGTTGTTTGCACTTAATTTTATATGTGCCTTCTACATACAATATTTTGTTTTCATTATCATAATACCCGAAGCTTCGGGGTATTCAGTATTCCAGTGAAAAAGAACTTAACCAGAAAGGATTTAAAAGAAAAGGTTTTTAAAATTCATTTGTGTTCCCTTGAAAACTTTCCCTTTTGTACTTGACGTACTTGTTATGCTGTATTCAGATTTTGATTTCAACGCTATTTTAAATTACGTTCATTTATAAAATGTTTAATTTCTCTATTACCTATGCCTGTAATTAAGGTTAGGTAAATGCATAATAATATGTTGCAAGTTGTAATATTTTGGGAACGTTTTGGTGGTCGGTTGCTGGAACAAGCGCGTCGCGAGTACATTGCTCCATGTTGATAACTCTATTAATATCTATCTGGTGTCTCTAAATGTACTCCGCGAGCCAATCAGCAGCCATCGGGCCACACAATGCGCCCACTGTATCGACCACTGGAAAAATACTCGTTAATAAGAATTGCTGATACGAACTTATTTTGTTTTTATAAATTTTGCTTTGATATGAACAAAAATACTTCTTTGTGTTATTAGGACTTAATGAAATGTTGTTAAAGTTCGGAAAAGTACCAAATAATAACTACAAAACTCTAGAAATATATTCTTAAACAGTTTGATAAAATGATGAAACATTATGTAACAATTACTCTGATAGCAACATACAAAAGCCATAATTATTATAATTTCTGGGTAGATAACGACTTAGTTTAATTTTCTTTTGTCTTATCCCTACCCTAATTAGATGTTAGTGGAATTCAACCTTTGATCTCGATTAGCTCCGGCGAGTAAAGTAAATAATTAATGTGTTACGATTAACAAATAATAAAACAAAGATAATGGATAAGTCAGCTTTTTGATTAAGTATTCAGTTATGTAATGTATTCTCCTAGTCAACTCCCGGCGATCGTTCAACATTCAGTCTTCATCGCGTCGTCAAATCGTGTGTTTAGTTTCTTCAAGATAAATTGTAAGACACGTGTTTTTTTACCCGTAGCTATAGTTTTTTGGCCCAGTGTGTGGCCATCACGCCGTAGATACGAGCGTCGCGCGTGTGTTATATGATAGTGCTTGTTTGCGCGTCGCTTAACAATCATGTTTAACTAAATATTAAAAAATTAAATATCGGACATCGTTCCACGTTTCGTGAATTGTAAATTTGTACTCAATAATTAAGTTGATTACTCTAATAAACAACAGCTAGCTACGTGAGTATTTTTAGTTATTATGTTCGTGTTTGTTTAGAATAACATCTGTGATAAAATTAAAATAATAACAACGAATTTATTGTGTCACGGTTCCGGCATGGAATTTTACTTTTTTAATTCAATTATTTTTTTTATATATATCTATGGTACTAGTTAAGACTAGTAAGATAAATGGAAATGAATAAAGTTGTTTACTCCGAATGAACTACTCCGTAATAACATACAATTTAATAACAACATAAAAATAACTTTGGTACACTATTAATAACAAAAGTACATGATGTCGGTATTAAAGGCTTTTGTTATTTTCCGAAGTAGTTATCAATCAATAGATAAGTGTATCGACTGGACCGATCTTGCTAATCGTTTTGGTAGAATTTATTAACATTGTACTCCCACATCTTCAAGGTCTCGGTTATTCCGCCAGAAATAGACTCAAAGGTACCAAGTAACCTTCGTTTCACACAAATAATAAATGTTTGTTTTTTAATCAGCATTCGTATAATATGGCAAAAATATATGTACATCTGGTATCAATATACCGTTTACATACTGCTCTCGCCAAATTGTCATGGCATGTTATCGTGCAATTTAACTAATGGTAAATTGAATGATTGATACCGATTTGTTCTGTTACATTGTACCGTTTATCGATGTAATGTTTTACTCAGACTGTAGGTACATAAATTATGTGTGTCACTGTGTGTCTACTGATTCTTTGTAATGGTTACTCTGTTTGAGTAGTTTGGTACTAAAACGGTAGTTTTATTCTAAGGCAAACTTACTCTTTATCCCTCTTTAAATTTGATTTCAATGTAGGTATTTCAATTCTTATTATAACTCGCTACTTAGCTAACAAAAAGAATTACTAGAACATTAATTTCCCTGTTACATTTCAGAGCAGTATTATAAGCCCGAGGTTGTCGTGGTCTATGCAAGTTATCAGGGCGCACAATAACTCATTTCGGCGCCCTTCGTGCTCAGGTGTATGTCGAGACGCTTAAAATATTGTTGTCACCGAAAACGATATTTCTTTAGCTGCAAAAATGTCTCAACCGCTTTTAGGAGGCTCCCCAAGTTTTTCTTGTAGTGATTTATGTTTAATTAGAGTGTCCTTCACATTTTTATGTCATTCGAAAATAATTTAAGAACTTCGCGACGAGGGCTTCGGGAAAGCTCGGCGTATAACTTTTAAAACAATTATGAGTTTGTCAAGGGGAGGTTACGATACGTAAATGCCTGTCGTTCCAGCGTTACTCGAAACAATGTCGATCAGGCGTATTGCATTACTCAGTCGGTAAGTGTAGGTAGTTTAATTGTACGAGATAACCGAGTAGTACGAGATCAGAACGCGGTGACCTCCGCTTTCGTCTGAGAGTCACGTAACCACTGATAGGCAGCTCGAAGAGATTTATCATTAGCTACAAGTTGACTTAATCTTCTCAATATGTAATACTATTGTGAAGTTACCTAAAGCAATAGTACAAGCCCATTTTACTGGATTAATTAACAGGACTGTTGTTCTCGTCTTTGGTATAGTATCTAATCAAACTTTGGTTCTCTGACAATACTCAACATTGTATCTATTTGACGCTCGCTGGATAGAAGATTTGTACTTTTTAGCTATCAATTTTTTAGGACAGTAAATAATACCTACATACATGGGTATTTATGTAGGTATGGTTATTTTCCGATTTGTCGACATGTGAACCAGTAACAAATGATATGGGTATCAGTAATTCGGATTGTATAATAAATAACTTTGTACTAATTGTGTATACCTACATCGATATCGTGCATGTACCCGTTGTACTCTGGCTGGCTGTGTGACATTGAAATTAATCTTATTTTTTAATAAAAAAAAATACTATTTTTCTGTTTTTTTTTGCGCAGTAAAAATTTTACAACGACTTTTCGTTTATTCTATAATAAAAGTGAAAGTTAGTAATCAAATAACCCAGCCATGATATACCTACATAATCGGCAGTGGTTTTAGCAACGATTAGACAAAAGGTCAGTCACTCATGTTAACTTGGATACTACAAAAAATACCTACAGCGTCTATGCTGTGGTCTCGTAGTTCACACAATCACGAATTGATATAAAAATAATGAGACAAAATGACAATGTTAGTTTCTCTCATAGCTACCGTGTATCTGAATGATATTTATTATTTCTCTCTGATAACAAGTCGCGACTTGTTCACGTAAACACTCATTATTGATTGTACTGAGGTCTGTGACCATTTGATTTATTACAAACTGAAGCAATAACTGAACATATTATCGTGTTGTTAATTACTTGTGCCAATATAACATTAACTAATATCTATGGGTATTATTAAGGATAATCATTTCATAATGCATTTTTAATTGGATTTAAGCAGAACATAATTTGTTTGGCTTGTAGTTACCGTCGGTTATACCGTGTAAAGACCATTTATTTCCTAATATAGCTACGTATAAATTATACAGCGTATTATACGTATTCTTTGTCGGGCGAGTGGTAGAAATAATAAACAAAAATATCCACTTATTCATATCGCAAAATGCAAAGGAATAACTGTTATTTACATATCACTACATAGTATAAAACAAAGTCGCTATCCACTGTCTGTCCCTATGTACATATGCTAGATCTTTGAAACTAAGCAACGGATTTTGATGTGGTTTTTTAATGGATAGAGTGATTCTTAAGGAAGGTTTATATGTATAATACATGCATATTGCACCCGTGCGAAGCCGGGGCAGATCGCTAGTAACATATATACTACAACTGAACACTATACATTATCAGACAAGTAATAAATGTATTATGTACTACATTATTTTAGATTACCAGCTAAGCATTCGGACACATAAGTATACACTCTAACTTTAAGTCAAAGTGTATACTGCTCCTAAAATATGTTTTAAAATAACACTTTTCATAGAGACCACTTGCAAGTTTTTAAAATATAAAATTTCTTGCGTATCATAAATATGTTTACAGTTAAAATATACACATACAAGTATAGGTATGTATGTAAAAACACAGCACAGATTGTGAACATAAAACAAGCAACATGCAATATTTCTTTTTTATTTTGTTTCAAGTTTTTCTGTTTTGCACTCTATTTTAAAGCCGAGAGAAGCGGAAACCCTGCTGGTAACATAACATATGTTATATAGCTTTAAATAAATGTTATATTAAAGCTATATAACAACCAACACATATTTTTATTTATACTCAAACGAATAACACTATTAACGAAGTGCTATATGACCTTTGTATGCAAAAACATATAAAATTAAATAAAATATCCAAGGACGTTAAAAAAGGCGGACCTAATTTCACTAAGAAATGATTGAAGCGCCAAAATGTTATTTATGTGTGCGTGTGTTACCAAACTTAAGAAATTGTCAGATGTCCTTTGTGTCAATGTGTTTGTTCAGGGTGTAACTCTATAGTAACCGGGTGCCGCAGTCGTTGCGTCAAGAGAGTGTGTCCGTCTTTTTTTCAACGTCCTTAGGAATATCTATGTATATACGTAATATTCATGTTTGCTTACTAAATAGGTACCTATTGCTTTTAATTTATACCTCTAAACTGAAAAAATAAATTTCTACACATTTTTAGGTAGAAGTTAAAACATTTACCACAGCTTCAATTACTTATATAACTAATTGATTTTAACTAGGCATATAAAACAAAGATAGATACGTTAAAATCATGCCTGTTGTTCTAAAAGTAATAAGCAAACATAATAATGAAAGTGGATCTACTAACATGCTCTTTTAGAATAGCACGACAGTATTTTTATACGAGTGTAATACACTAACACCAAAAACATTGGAACAATTTTTTTATGGGATAAGCCGGTAAACGAGCATACGGATCACCTGATGTTAAGCAATCAGCGTCGCCCATAGACACGTGTATCTTGTCAAGCCGGTCCATTGTGCAGAAGCATGACTCTCCCACACTTGTGTGGACTTTATTTCTTTAATACCATCTACTAGATTAATTAAAAATATTTCTCATGTGGGCACTTTTTCCTTGTTCGTATTGGCATAATAAACTTACGACATACATCAATTTAAAAAGGCACGGAGTTGCTTGTGGCTACGAAACGCAGCTCATGGGAAAAAGTACGTGGCTGATACTTTTTCACTATTTAACTGACGGACTAAATGGGTATTTCCTTTTCACCCTGTCGACACCCCTATTCCGAACTCTACGCTATTACAGAGAATTGCAAAGTAAGAAAAACCAAAAATACTTTCAAGATTTCGTGATCTGCAGTAGTATTTGCGACCACTTGACCGTATGGTAGTCATTACCTTTAATCGTTGAAGATTTTTGTTCAGACAAGAATTTTCTTTGACACGCGAAAGCTTTGTGTTGATTGGTAAATCGCTCATACCTTCAAAGTAATTGGTTTTTCTTTATCATCCGATCTATGGATACTATAATACCATCAGTGATTCTTAATTAAATGGTCGGCCGAAATACAACAACAACGTTAAGCCTGAATCCTACCTAAATTATTTACTGGTGTAATTTAAAACTGAGTATCAAAATATGATTCAAGTTATGAAAAAAGGTACAATTATAACTTTCTATTTATAAGGTAAGTACAATTAAAGATACAATTATACATAATCGGTTAAAAATTAGAAGTAGGTTTAATGCAGTCGTCTTAACTCATGTGAGTGCACTGTGAAATGTAGGTAAATACAGCTACACATACATTCGCGCAATACTTACTTAACAGACGTGGTATGTAAGCCCTTATCAAATTCGAACAGCCTCAATTGATATGTCAATTCGGGCTTCCGTATACAACTCGAAACAGGGTAATTTTCACCGGTAGTAACGTACGTAATCCCAGTTTGAAGGATAGGTGCCGGTAATTACAGACACCTGCGACATTTCAGCTTGACGCACCTGTGATTACGTTGGTAATGCAGGTTTCCATGGTCGCATGACCCGTCATCTACAGATTACATGCAAGCTGGTTAGCCGTTGTATAATTAACATGATCATGACGAATTCCATTGTTTACCAGAAGGGTTAAATAATGGGAGAGTGTTTCCTTAAATCTCGAAATGAATGCGAAAAGGGTTTAAGTTTTGCGGGAGGGTGAAATGATAATGGAATGTGGATTTGCAAAATCTCAATCGTAGGGAAAGATTTCGATTATGTTCGCCAAATATTACTACCATTAACACTAACTATCTATCTTAAAACTTAAGAAATCGATTAAAAATGAAGCAGGTAAGGCCGAATTTCAAAATGAACGAAATTATCCCCTACAAAAGTGTCTGTACATGTACATATACATTAGCGAATACACGACCCTTCCCTCCGTTCCATATCGATACCCTAACGATATCGATTCTTACGTTTCGATTGTTACGATCATGAACACCTCGCGATATTTCTCACAGATCTTAACCCTTTGATTTGGACAAACAATGAAAGCTGTGATAACGAGCAATTAATATTTACGGCTACTATTAATTTTAGTGTCAAAATACTATTGTTTAGAATTGTGTTAACATTTATCTATTTAATTATATAGTGGTGTAACTGTGTAGTAACGATGCAAAAAGAGGCGCTATATTCTATTATCATGGTTATTTACAGATGATATTAATTTATTTTATTATTAAAAAAATTATCCTAGTTACATGTCACTAAAAGAAAATTTAGTTTTTTCATAAATAATCGAGATGAGTTTAATAATACTCCCTATTTAACGTCGATGCCAAGTCTTTTGATTAGACCTGTCATTGTATTTTAATGGTAACTTTCAATCATCAATCAAATTATTCCAAAGCGTGATCGTTATGTTGTTGAATGAAGAGTTTAAAGAATATTTTTCAAAAATGGAACAGTTATTTAGACGATCGTATGTTTTATAATAAACTTTTCAAATACAGACTAATAATGATTATAACCAGAATGTCGTGATTTTACTTTTTTATTTTACTGTTATACACAGAGCTTAATATTACACGAAGAAGTTTTGATGTCGTCTATGGTACAGCAATTTGTACGGTTTGTATTAAAGGGCTGTGGTACATGCAGTCAGATGTTACTTATTGTACCCAGCCATTGCTGATATAAGCCATTAATAATCCCGCCCGTACACGGGGAAAATACGAGTTGCCTTGTTTGGAGCTAAAATCATGTTTTGAAACCAATCTTTACTTTTTGTAGGTAGTTATATATATGTATAACATTAATAAAATGGTATTATTAGATGGAAGAAGTACGTATAAATACCATTAGGTAGATTTTTGAAGTTTTGATCATCTAAAAGCATTTTTGTTAGCAATGTCATCGAAAATAAAATCGGTAAAGCATTTTTATATCTGTATACTGCAATATTATTATTACACATACATAAAATACCTTCTATAAAGTGTATTAGAACTCTGCATATGTTGCTGAAATATATCCGAATGTAACCACTGTACCCCGGCGTCTGTTGGGACCATAAACATAAACTTATACCTAACACATTTTATTAAGGATATTTGACAGTTGGATATTTATTTATAGCTCAAACTTTTATTTATTAACATGATATAAGTATCTGTATCTATGTATAACGTGTATACTTTATACAAGTGCTACACGTTATCTTCACAGGTCATGCATGATGTGTCTATAGCAATAAATGTCACAATTTCAATATGTCGTAAGACACGTTAATAAGAAATTCAGATCGCCGAAGTACAACAAACGAAGCATCCACAAAAGTGAACTTCACATTTAGGTCGGAAAAAGTTAGACAAAATGTAAACAGAATAGTTGTTTTATTTGCTGGGAACTCTCGTAAATCAGATCACTTTATCTGATTTGTTAAAAACCGTCACAATTGTCGATTGTAGTGTGTCCCTCTGGATTACATTCATCAAAAGTTATATAACTTTACACGTTGTATAACTTTGAAAGTTGTATAACTTTAGATGTAGGTTTAGAATATCAAACAAAACCTACCTACCTATTACATAATGTTCTACATGCCGTGAGTTTGTTAAGGTACTTAATGTGGTTTCTCGAAAACGAATTATTTAAACAATGCAGGAACAGAAGAAATGTTTACTTTGTTTCATGGTAATTCTAGGAACGTACGTTGTACAAAGAACGCAAGGCTTCTGTATAACCATATACCTATGTAAAACAATATAACCATAAAACCGTTCTGTACACAAAAATGTTGTGTCTGAGGAAAGCACATGCTGTTAAATGAAATTAATACATTGGCGAGGTTCCCGAGGACTTGTCTCTAACTACCTCCATTAGCATCGGTCTAACATAGAGCTAGCCTGAGGCGGCACAGTTGCAGTACTGTCTCGATACTCTCAAATACGTTCCAATTCCGTTTAACATTTACTTCGACGGACACTATTGTAAACGGGCGAGCAGTGGTAGTAATACATGTGATGACAATCGCACGAATTTCGTACGCAATCGAATGCACACAACACATTAAGTCTGAAACAGCTACCATGTGACAGCTACCACATTCACTCGCAATGCTGATATAGCTGTTTTACAAATACATATGCTATCTGGTTGCACGGTTCACTGGATGCCAGCAAGTTCCCGGCAAAGTGTACCGGACAGTCACTTTTTACTCGAACCGTTTGCGACAATTTTTGCAACTCAGCTTCAGCCGGCAAACGAAACCTTCTGCTATGAGACTTTAGAGACTTCCTTTGAACTTCTTTGACAGATTTTTATTAATAGTTGTTACATTCACGAGGGTAATATCTTTTGTTTTTAACCACTCTATACATTTCAGATAATTAACTACTTTGAAAAATGACTCCAACTAATGGCGAAGGCGCGGAGCCGCCACATATCGTGGTACTGGACGGGGGGTTCTCGACACAACTGTCTTGTCACGTCGGGCACGTTATCGACGGAGACCCGCTGTGGAGTGCTCGCTTCCTCTACACGCACCCGGAAGAAGTCGTTAACACCCACCTCGACTTTTTAAGAGGTAAAAAACAATTTTAATTTTGCAAGGAAAAAATTTTCGTAATTTAAAAAAGATTTTTCTTTAAACACAATATTAAACACTTACCTAATGAGGCGTCCATTTTGTTAGGTAAGTAGGTAACTAATGCTAAATGCAAAAGCTCAATATAATTTGCTAAAATGTGGCCATTTTCCGAAAACACTCAGTCAAACGTTATTCCAATTAATATAGTAGTAATTCATTAATGCATTTAGCTATCATTATAACAACAAATTAACGTTAAGGTAATCCACGTGGTGGAAAATAAAGCATTTTGAGGATCTTACCATAGTGGTCGATGGATTGATAAATCAAACAGTATTAAAACTCATCCTCACTATACCTACAAGAAAACCTTGTGTAGCATTTATTTACATTTACTAAAGCATACGTAAACTACCAGCTAAACATCATATAAAGGTCTCAACGTATTATGTACTGTCCAACTTACGTACCAAATTTTACTGAAAGGAATTCAAACATCGGTCACCCAAAAGTTTTCTGAATGAATTGAAATACAGATGAAAACAAACCGCAAACGACTGCGAAGTTACACAGATAGTAACACAACTAACATAGGCCCGCAAAACGTGCGGCTAAGTACAAGAGTACAGAACATGCGTGTTTTGACGAATTACACGTTAGGTCGCTTTTAGCCTGTCATGTTCATGCATCTGACAGCGAGAGTGCGACCTCGTCTCGTGTCATCGTCCTCTGAAAGCGCTTTTCTTCACCACAAAACGGACCGTTTCTTTTCATAAGAAAAGCTGAAAAGTGTCTGCAAGCAAATAACTCCCTGGAGGGAAAAGCCTACTGCCTTGCTTTGCTGCCTCCTATAGAAGATATTATGTGAAAAAATATAAAATATGACCGCGTACTTTGTGAAATCACGAACGCTTTTACACTCCCGTCTCATTGAAAACACCGGACAAGATAACAGTCATTACTATCGCTGTGTAATGTTCAGATGTACGTACATGGCAATATGAGTAGGTACCTACATATCCTAACACAGTAATAAAGTCCATTATCAGTGTATTTTATATATTGCGGCATTACAGCAAGTGTAGACAGCTCGGGTACCTAAGTACAATGTACCTATCTAATCCAGTCGCAATCACATATTTTCTCGCCAGGTAACTTGCAGCTGTTCCGCCGTGATTATTATGATTGACGCTGTAGCAAGTTGGCAAGTGATGCCGCTATTTCTCCCTCATCTACTAACTACTTCACATTTGCATAGTACGGTGTCGGCAGGCGGCAGGCGGCAGGAGGCGCGACTCCCGCTCCGAGCCGCCAGCGCCTCGTATACAAACTACAACTCCGGATACACAGCGTTGTTGCCATTAATCACCTTGTCTGTCTAATACCTTTCCATTCGCAAGCCGTGCGCCGTCTTCTATTTATTACATAATTATTTTCTTCGACAGAGAACGGTTCCTTTGCCGACCTCGCTTCCGTAATATTGAACAAGCCGGCCTCGTGTTGCATTACTAAGTTTTAATAATATTAATTGTTTACGCCTCTTAGCCGCACCCCGCTCACAGTCCGTATACTAACAAAGTTTAACTTTAGCCATATTTATCGAACTAGTTTCGTAATACCGACTTCGGAGTATGTAGACTATTAATTAAAGTCGACAGGAAAAGCATAGAGATATCGGCGACATGGTTAAAGATATTATTAATCTTGGGATTCATCTGTTTTCATTAAATGCAGGTTTTGTTTAATTTGATTAATGTGCCTAAACGTTATGACTGTTTGTGGGTTATAAAATGTGTTTTATGGTTATTTTACAGCGGGAGCAGACCTAATAATAACGAACACTTACCAGGCATCGGTCGAGGGATTCGTAGAGCACCTGGGCATTACGGCAGAAGAGTCGTTCGAGCTGATCGTGCGAGCCGTGGAGCTCGCCAAGCGCGCCCGCTCTGCGTACCTGGAGGAGTACCAGGACTACTTACAGAACGGCAAGTACATTCATTCGTGCGGGAATACATTACAATATGCGGGGCCTGAATGCCGCGACATATTTCATAAATGAATACCGAGGGAGGCATGCCTCCGGAGTAAATGGGAGACTTTAAAAGATCAAATGAAAATGACAAATGGTTCTTTGGCCAGTAAAATTACATTTATAGCAATACAATGTACAAAGATTTTAATTAAATATCAAGCAAAAAGCATCGTTTGTAGTAGGTACAATCAATTAGATGTAATGTTGATGTTTAAAGTACCTAGTACTTTAAAATTATTTTCAAATAAGTTGTGAGACTATTCTAAGAGTTAAATTTAATGAACATGACTATAGTAGAAAAATTTTAACTTATGAATATTTTAAAAATGATGACGCCCTCTCAAACGAAAAGCAATGTAATGAAAGTACCCTTAGAGCAAATATCTAATTTCAACATTCATTTCTCGAGTCGTCGTTCATTTTCTAGTAAACAGGCAAATAGGCTATAAAACCACTTGAAAATACGCTTTTAAATCTTTATCACGGGTTTATCATGTACTTTATGACCGGTATAACTTTTTAGAATGACAAGTGGCTATTTAAAAGGTAACTCCGCAATACCTACCGGTACTTCCACCTGTTTTTAAATTAGTTTCAGTACTAAACTTTACATAGAGATACCTACTTGAAATTCACCAAAGTAAAACAGATGTAATTTATTATTTAAATTTATAAAATCTCAAGAATGTTTGTGTTTTGCTGTAAACAAAGATGGTAGGGTCCGCAGCGGTAAGGGTCGGGTGCAAGCACGCATTAATTACACTTTGCAAGGGTAGAAAGTTATGTGTATTCGCGTAGATAATGTTAGAACATAGTGGTGGAGATATTATAAACAAGAACTTGGCATATTTACGGTAACTTACCTGTTCCTTTAGATCGTATCCCGCTGATCGTGGGTTCGGTTGGGCCGTATGGCGCTCACCTGCATGATGGCTCGGAATACGATGGCAGCTACGCAGACACTACACTGTTGAGGTAAATATATACTTTATTATAAATCTGTTATAAACTATTCACATTATTCTTATTTGGGTTATCCGTAGCTATAGGTACTACTTACATTTTATTATTAGTTACCTATGTTAATTCCTTATTTAACTCGTCGAGTACCGGTTTTATAGACACAATTAAAGAACAATAGGTCGCGGTCACCGGTGACCGCTTGGTGTTTGACAGTTTAAATAAAACAGGCCATGTAAATAAAAAAAATGAACCTTATAAAATATCTTTTAGCTTTTCTTTTTATTTTAAATCACTGCACCGGCAACGGCTATAAATTCCCTGATACAAAGTAAAGCTAGCATGGTGGAAACTTTATAATATATTTAGTCAAGTAAGTAATAACTGTACACACTTGAGTAGCACGTAATATGAAGATAGATAGGTTTCCTGCATATTCAAATCTAGTATTAATGTATATAGGTAGTAGCTTTCGTGTATGCATAGATACATAAATGTTGTATGTAGTCATTCAGATGTAGGTAGTTCATAATTAATGACTTTGGCCAAAGCTAAATTGGTTCTTTGTCTATTTCTATATGTATGTTGTCACTAAGAGCTTTTAGGGTGGCAATCGGTTGAATCGATCTTGTTCAAATGTTAAAGGTAAAGCTTTCTAACTAAAAGCTCTGAATTCACAGAGTGAGTGTTTTTATTATTCTACATTAACTATGCTGTTCGATTTTAGGGATCCTTACCCTTATTTTTTCGTACGTTTTGAATGACGCAATGAGTCGGTTGGTTAAGTTTAGGTGTCTAATAATAATATAATCGATACGAATTGTAATAAATACTGGTTGTAATGTAACATTGTGTAGGTTGGGTGATTTTAATATTTTCATGATTTAAACATAAGCATTGAGAATACAGAGTTATTTTGAATCTATTATTCCTTTTGAAATCTGAGAAATTGCTGTTGTATATAGGTTAAAATAATGCATCATGGAAACTGTTATTCCTTTCCTCTCCTTTACCTCTTCTCAAGAATAATATAACCTGCTCATACTAGCGAAATTTGAGACGATTTTTCACGAAACTGCAGACGCGCTACACATTTTCATAATGTAATCTTTTGTAGTTTGGAAATGCAAATATTTATATGAAACTGCATTAAACCAAACTGCTACATTTATGTAGTCATGTGCTATTACGTGTATTTGGTTTACGTTTAAGATATTAAAAACAATAAGGAGTGATTCAATAAACACTATTAAATCAGTCACTCAATCATACGTACGGAACCCCGAGAGAAACGAATGCATAGCCTAATAAAGGCCATTGAAAGCGGCGGCTAAATCGTAAAGAGGGCCGTAAAGTTGCCTGCAAATTAAAATTTACATCGGCAATATGAAAAACTCCACTCCATTTCTCTTGTTTTTTTTCCTGTACCGACAGCATTTGACTGGGGTGGACAGTTAATTAACGAAACCTAGAACAAATGGCTATCTGAAACAAACATGAAGTAACAAAATGTGCGCCGTAATTAATTTGGAGTTCTTTTATTGTTTTATCAAAGCCATGTTTTAGTTTTAGATCATAACAATTAGTCCTTTTGTGTTATTTAGTTTTTTATAATTAATAAATGTTTTTGTTTTATAGACAATGAAAGCTTGGCATCGGCCTCGAATCCAGGCTCTGGTACAAGCTGGAGTCGATCTTCTGGCTTTGGAGACGATCCCTTGTCAAGAAGAAGCTGAGATGTTATGTGACCTTCTTAGGGAGTTCCCTCACATGAAAGCTTGGATCGCATTCAGTTGTAAGGTAAGCTAAATGTCGCGGAGAACCTAACGGTCGCGGAGAACCTAACGGGTAACCGGGGCTCCGGCTCGACGTGCAGGAGAAGGAACGGGGTGGTTTTTAGTCAGTAAGAGTCTGACACTCCCTTCCGCCTCACACAGGCGGGTGCAGTCATTCGATGATTTTCCCCCATTAAAAAAAAAAAATTAGGTAAGCTAAATGTATTTAATATCAGTCACGATTAAAATTCTTGGTATTCTTTACAATATTGAGAATAAAAGAGGCATAAAGAAAGTTGGTGAACCATAACCAGGTTGGTTTATTCAAAATTGCGGATCGATGAGTTACGTAATAGCTTCGATAAATTTTCCTCTTCGCTCCAAACCATTTTTGAAATTCTAAAATAACAAAAATCATCTATTGGTGGGAGTTTGGTATTGACATGTTGCGTCACTGGCTTGTTCTGCTGGTGGGTCATTTATTTTTATACATAGGTGTCCGAATGCGGCAAGTTAGCACTGTTGATACACCCAGCTCCGAAAATACTCAAATGGAGCTTGTTACTCCGTCTATATGAATGGTTTGAATTGAGGACAAAAAGCGGATCACCTCAGATAAACGATTTGCAAAAGAGTTTTTTGTAGGAAACATATTTGGTTTCCAATTTTGATACCTAATGTATAGAAAATACTAAAAATAGCCTATTTTCAAAGGTATCTAAGACTTTTAGTTGCAGATCAAGAATCTGGTTCGATTTTCAGTTCGCGCAAATTATTATTATTACGTTTATACAAAAATTTCAGTAATAGAATATAACACTTCTGTCTACTCTGTCCCTTCAGAGAGTGGAATGCGTGTCGCCACGCTCAGTATTAAAATCATAATAAAATATTCAAAATGAACTAGAATGTTTCCCGTCCGTACCTATTTACTAGTCAACACTTCAACAGTATAGCTGTAAGTGTTGCTGAGATTCCGCCAACTTTTACAACTTTAACGAAACGATAAGCACTTGCGAAACATTGTAGCTTCTTAGTGTTTTCTGTCCATTTCCAGATGAAGAAGAATTTTCCATTTTAAGTGTCGCAATACGATCACAAATTCCAGCTACCGTTTTATTTGCCGTGTCTGACTTTTGTTACTTTTTTACAGGACAATCAAAGCATAGCTCACGGTGAAAGCTTTCAAAAGGTAGCCAAGAAATGTTGGGAAACGAACCCTGACCAGCTAGTTGCCGTGGGAGTGAACTGCTGCGCGCCATCCTTTGTGTCGAACCTCGTGAAAGGCTTCAACGACGACCGGCCACACGACCCCATTCCGCTTATCGTTTACCCCAATTCGGGCGAAAAATACAACCCTCAAATAGGGTAAGATTTCCGAGTTGGATAACTTATCTAAGGTTTAGTTTGTATTTCCCAAGTGAATGTAATTGTCAAGTTTTCACTTCCTAATGTGACGAAAACTATGTAGTTAGGACTACTCACATTTTACTTGTAAATGTGAGTACAGTAATAGATCTATAAAAATGAAATATTACATAATAAATAACGTGATAGGCAACGAAAAATACATTAATACATATTGTAGTACACGCTACATGTCGTAGCACATGCTACGTGTTCTAGCACTGCAACGTGCTACGAGCTACGACGTAGCTTCCGCTACGACTTTGACATAATACGGTTTAAAAGGAATAATTTTCTTGGCGTTAAAGCCTGCTGTGCAGACTGGTCTGTTATTAAGCAGGCCCACTGCGGATTGGTTGTTCACCAATGTACAGTCCGGCAATATCCTGCATCGCTAAAGATAAAACTTGTGCCATTTACGAAAAGTTTAATTCCCGACTTGACACTTATACTTTTAACTTAAACTTGCGCTCGTGATCCATTTTGCGCAAAGGGAACGTGCCACTCGTGTACAAAGTTGCTTGTTATGATACAACAAACTCTTAGTTTTTCTTGAATGGGTGAAACAGATCACTACAGTATGATATTCTTATTTTACAGTTGGATAGATCGGGACAAGTGCGAAGCGGTGGAAGTTTTCGTGCAAGAGTGGCTGGAGCTGGGTGTGCGATATGTCGGCGGTTGTTGTCGCACGTACGCCGCTGATGTCTCCCGCATACGCAACCAGGTTCACTGCTGGCGCGACCGGTGGCGCTTCCAGGCGAAATACCCCTACGCACAGAATAACAATGCTGAGTAAACAGCTCTAACGGTTCATAGTTCCTTGGTGGTTAATTACAAAACATTGCTCATGTATTTTCTATTAACACTTATGTAAATCGTATGTGAACAGAAAACGTGACACCAATTTTCATCAGTTTCGTAGTCACTGATATTTTCAGATCAGATCACTACTCTTTTAACCCTGTTATTAAATACATGATTAACAACCGAACTGGTGACCTTGACTTGATACACACCTCGAATATTGGACATAAGTAGCTACATACAGTTGTAACAAACCACCCTGAACCCTGATTGACTTTGACTACGTATAATTGTTATTTTAAAATAAAAATATATGTGCCATCATGATAACTTTAAGTAATTTACAGATGTACCTATGTATACTTATTATTGAAAATATAGAAAAATAAATATTTTTATGCAACATTTTGTTTGTTTTTCTGACACCTAATAGTTGTAAGTTAGGTAAAAAATCAAATTCATACTATGTATGTGATAAATGAAGTTTTTTAATGCGATCAGTAAACACGCGATAAGTATACCTGCCGAATATAACACTGGAGTAGGTAGAACAATCAATGAAAATGTATATTTAGACAAATGAGGAACGAACGAAATGCTTTTTCAATAAAAACCTAGATCTTTTAATTTAATATAACATGATAAAGTGCCTACGGAATATGTATACATGTTTAGGTAATGTTTGAAATTGTAAGTTTGATGAAAACAAGACGAGGCAACCGTGGTTGCGATCACTCGACAAACGAGGCAATAAAAAATACACAATAAAGTAGTACCTATACAAACTGTAACCCGGTAACTTAAATAAAGAAAAAATACATAGTGATTAATACTACTTAATATTAATAAATAGGTACTTACATACTAACCTATCTGCCTACACGGTTAGCGCAGATGCTGGGCAACATGTCGTATGTTCAATTCCTTATCACGGAATCACTTTTAATATTCACAAATTGTTGTTTCGCTGTGATGTGCATTGTGTAGGTATGTCAAATTATTATGTTTATAATCGTATGTGTATTTGTTCTCCTTGTGCGTAGAAAATAAAACATGTTTCAAAAATAAATATATACCTACTGAAGTCTTAGTAATGACATGATTTATTCAAAATTCGCCAACTTTATTCCAGATGCCATTTGTTAAACCACATGTTGGTGTCCGATTTATTACATAGATACGTCGTCCACTCGTAGCGAGTCTGTATAAAACTGATGGATCGCCATAAAGAGCACATATTGAATTCATAAAGTTCTGCTCGCTCATACAATGACTAACTTAATATACGTTTGAATTTAGATAGGAATGAAGAAAACGGGAATGGAACTAATGTGAAAGAGAAAAATGTAATTAGTTACTTATCTACTTTTAGTACCTACACTAGAAGTTTATAGGAGACGGCGTACCTGCGTTAAGTAGTGAACGAAATTTCTACCTGATTATCTTAACAAAATGACTCGATGGAAGTGAACGCAAGTACGTTTGCCGAGAAAGGGTGTACGTACGCGTTTGATTCTAAGGGCATTCTGAGTATCATTGGAATTATTTCGGTTTGTGAATAATTCTAAGTGTAGTGCCTAAATGAAATTTAGTAGGTAGAGCACTAACGCAATTTACTAACCTATCTACCAGGCTTATTCAGTCATCCTAACTGAATATACGTCAAATCGAATCGGACATCACTACGCTCCGCTCGCTCGTCCCGATACAAAAACTCATCTTCTTTTTGCATCACTTTGTTTTTTAATCCTAGATATTGTGTTACAAAACAAAATTTTACCCTTTTCACATGGAAATTCGACGTAGCTACAGGTTAAATTATGTTATTAGATTTTTTATAGTAAAAACAATTTCAATAGGTATCTATGCAGATATCCGTACCTACCACAATGATATAGGTAGGTACTTACTTACTTACTTACCTATTTATTAATTATAAGATGATATAGGTATGTAGTTACCTACTCGTACAATTAAGTTATAAATAAATCAGTGATGGGTATTTTAAATATCATCGCTGAATATTACTAATACACAGTCAATGACTTGCTAAAATGAACAGCAAAGGTGTCTGTCCATTCATTTATTACCGATTAAGTTAACGTTCGGAAATAAACAGCCAGTTCAAGTGATCTACTTAGCATGAACTTTTAATTCTAACTTCAAACACGTCATTATTTATGTACGAAAAGGTAGGTAGGTAGGTTCCTAGGTATGCAAAAGTGCGAAGGTGGTGCCGAAAAGTAAATTGAAAATTAAATTAAATACGGTTACGTTTGTTGTTGGTCATGCCGAGTTGCCAAAGTGACGACGCTCCTCTCTAGTTACTGTGTAAGAAATAAAAACATTCCGGCATTTTATCAGCTAAGAGGAATGGCCGACTAATTGGTTCGATGTCTTTTATCTAAAATCACTTAGTAGGTAAATGGGCTGACACACTTGTAGAGGTCATTGTTTCATATATAGGTACCTACTTAATAGGTAGGTACTAGGCACTAACCTAACTCTACAACTATGGAAAATGCAAAATAACTGGAAGTTAGCAGTTCTTAACATAAGTAAAGAAGTTAAAATATATTCATTAGAGCTGAAAAATATTGTTCATAAAATTCACCATACCGGAACCTTTTGTAGAGTTCAGAAGCCAGACGGTTTGTTTAATAAAAACCTATTTAATCTACGCCGACCTTTATTTATCTGACCCATAAGTAATTGCGGTGGACGCTTGACATTCGATGTATTCGCTTGCCGTTGCCGTGTAGGGTCCGCATCATGTATTTCACGTCGGGCACGTTCGTACTCTGCTTTCCAGCCACTCCACTCATTATTAACGTGCCAGTGTTCTCGTTGGGGCTTCTCTCAATTTCCAAAATTAGGTAATTAACTGCCGGCATAACAGTAGCAGGTGAAATAATGTTGTGGCTGCTAAAGTTTTGATAATTTAGCACCTACATAGATACTAACTACTAGGTACTTATTATGCACTTTGATATTATTAACGGATTAGTTACAAGGATGCAGTGAACTGAAACGGAAACGCTGTCTATGAGTAGGTGTTTTATATCGCAGGCATTGCTACGTGGCCATGCTTTACGCCTACGTTGGGTGTCCACCCCGATGAGCGCTCGTTGAACCGAGTCACCCGTCACTACTCCAACCTACGTGGATAGTTTAGAATAGGATCCCTTCGTCGCAGGCTGCATGTAGGATATCAATCAATCTATTTTTATCAGTTGTATGGATTTTTATCCATATGCTTTATATTGTGCTTATAATTAAGCTGGCTTCTATTTATGGATAGATGAGTTTTTTTTCTCAGTTGTAAATTTTATTTAGGAAAGTTCAACTGCATTATCAAATACATCCTACGTCACACGACTCTTCCTGGAAATCTTATTTTACGTTCAAGTAAGCTCTCTATTAATTAGATTCAACTTTACTACCTACTAGACTAGAGTAACTAGAGTATTCTAACGCAAGCGTATCTATATAGACACTTCATAAAATCGTACGTTAAGCGCAGCATTCTACCAAGCTAAGAACTTTACCAGATAGAATAAAAGAAAACGACATTTCTTGATATAATAAAGTTTAATACTTCTTAAAAGGAAAGGAAACGTCAGCATTTGCTCTCTTTTGCATCCATCAATATATTTCTGGACTGTAAAGTAGCAATGGCAAGAGTTCGGTCGTGTTTTTCTTCGCTCAACTGGAGTTGTAGGTTCTTTACTTCCATTTTCAATGTTTTTACTTCATTCTGCAGCCGCATAACTATTGTCCACAAACTCGGCGAAGCCTGACTCGAAGTAGTGTGTATCGGAAGCGACGGTGACCTCACCAAAGCCTCTATTGCCGGATTCTCGTCATCGCACTCTGTAAATACAATTTTATGGAAGTATAAAGAAATACAATACAATTAGCTTCAGATGGATATTTGACCAGATACCCACCTTGTAAAAGTTTGCTCAAGTAATTAATACGCTACATGCTTGCTAATTTATAGTTAAAGTCATTTTGCGAGGCATTCTCATTATCAGATCAGTAGTGCACCTAATCATTCTGCTGATCAAAATACTATCTACACCGGATTCCTTCAGGTATGGCGACGGCAATGTTTTAAGATGTTAATAATAACTACAGTTCAATAGAAAAATAAATATAATATTGTACCACACAATTTCGTTAACATATAAAGATTAGAGTCGTTATACATATAGGATAAATGAATATTTTCAATTAACTTATACCTCATCCATGGATGTAATATTACACTAGTGCTTTCGTTATTAAAAAGTGGAATCAACATATTTAATTCAAGGTAAGATTATGAGAAACATTAAGACTAGACGAGGAACAAGTTGTACAATACAATTCTTATGACGATTACACAAACATTCAGAATGTAAAACTTTCAATAATATCAATTGTGTGTTATAGGTATATGTATGCTAGATATTCCCCTCCAATAATGGGCACAAAAGCAACGAATACATATACGATAATATTAAAGTTATTATAACAACATACATATATCTCATCTGTATATATGCAGAACAGGTATTTTCGTTTATATGATTACAGTATTTGACAACACAACACATATAATAAAAGAAATTAATGGATTATATCCAGTTCTTAAAAGGCATCGATTTGTTAGTAATAATAGAAATACATAATTACACAAATACCACTACACACTACGTTGTTAATCATATACTACAAACAAATATTTAATATAAAGATACACCATTTTTATATTAAGTATATAGATTTCTATGAAACATAAATACTGAAATCGATTAATATTTGTTTAAAACTTAACAAAATGTACAACTATTATAAGTTATCGACCTCTTCTATTGCACCAATTAAAAATTACGTAGAAGAGAAACGATAGCAGACAAACGTACACCGTTCAACACACAAAGCTTATATTTTTGGTTTGCCAATTACATGCTGAATAAATACAAAGGGTAATTCATTCATATACCCGCCATCAAAGAGTATACTTAATGAAGTCAGCTCAGAACAGCTACCTAGGCACATAGCAGGCACTGTACATTTTGCGCGACCAACAATAAATCGATAACTTCGTGTCAATGATCTCGCCTTATAGTGAAAGCTGTGCAATGTCAAGCTTTACAACTTCAAGTGACTATCGCACGAAGAAAATCACGTTATACATCAAAATTACTAATTAAAACAATTCTGTAATATTAAAAACCTTTTATAAAAAGATTGCAATAAAAATGAAAGGACCACGAATATGTGGAATCTTGAAATATAAATATTTTTCAATAGTTACGAGACGATCTTAAAAAAACCCTTATTACAATATTTAATTAAAATCCAGCTGTAATCAGTACACGACCTGGATATGTGGGAAAGCGTAAGGTGGATTTTCAGTTTCCACTTCAATTAATCAGTGCCAGCATATGCTTGACAAGCTCTACTATTTTTAGCTCTTTTCCCTAATGGGCCGTGGGAATAGCGCATCACTGAATCAGTTCTTATAATATGTTTGTTGGTGACGTAATATGTGTAATGCAACTTATTTAAAACAGGGATTTCTACGGACTGACTTCCAAGATACACAACGTTTTTGAGATTATTCTTTCGAGACTTCGTAAAAGGTAGAGCCATTTTGCATTAGATAATGACACAATGAAACAGGTTAAAGCGTAGGCATTGCTGCAGTTGGCACTGGAACAGTAACGTTCGTATGTAAATGTAGCATGCAGTGCATTGCGCTATCCTGTTCAATAATAAATGAATGGCACGCGGCGGCCGCTGCTGCCCACTGTGATTGCCCGCCGCCGCCGCACAACCTAATAACTCGCCTCACTTGTCTCCATTAGTTCTAGCCTCCACAACTAATACAATTACCTAATTACATTTTAAAATGAATATTACTTTCGTTCGTATTTAAAAATCAGTTGTAAAGATTGTAAAAGTACAAAATATGTGTTGTAGTAAGTATGTAATCTAGCAATATCAGTAATTTTCTTGTAGATATTGCCACCCTATTTGAATCATAGGTACCTATATTTTAATAAACATTTTAATAGATTCACAAATGTTGATAATAAATATATAATTCAAAAAAGTAACGACAATCTTAATGACTCCTACTCTTAATAGACGTCTGCGTATAAAAAGCACCATTTGGCATTTAATGGATTCCAATCATAAATACAAACAACTATGAAGAAAAATGTATCCTTGGCATCATTCCATTACTGAATTCACCAGTTCATGATTATAGTCTTAGAGTGTAGACATTTAATATATTAATTCCTTACAATCTACTAGTTGCTATAAGCATAACCATGCAAATTATGCTACAAATATTTAATGCACCACAAAAATATATTTATAAAATATACAAGCAACTTCTTTTAATTATTCTCTCTAATTACTAAATAATACTGCACACATGCATTGTATATGAAAAATCTATTTAAATATTGATAAAAACGCTTGTTCGACCGTTACATTAAGCCTACGTCAATGGCACCAGCACTAAATTGAAATCAAGGCGAATGCTTGTACCGTGTACGTTAACATTCGCCCTGCTCTCAACTCGTTTTGTTATATTACATTTAGTGCACAAATATAATGATCAGCAACTATGAAAATGAGATGCAATTATTAAAATAAAAACAAATAATTATAATATTAGTCAATGGGATCAGCTTTGGTTAAATGTAAAATTTGAAAATGAAACAGATTTTCAACGATCACACTTGTCACGAGATTACAGACGTGGTTAAACTTTGGAGGTAATCCGAGCGAACAGCGAAAGGGTGATTGATATGTAGGAACAACAATTGAGCATAAAACTAGTTTATCTACTTATGTCAATCAAAATGATGAGATTTCGTGAGTTGTTTGACAAAGGTGCCACAACACCAAGTAGAGGAGCGCGCGGAGCGGGACGTGGTGGAAGGCGAGGGGACGGTGAGCACAGCGCGGAGCGGCGCGGCCAGGCTCGGGTGCGAGCCGCTGCGGCGCTCCCGGCCGCATATCAACTTCTGTCTGCGCTCCTCGGAACACTCCCACAGATTGGGATTAGAGCGATTCATGTCGAATTTTCGGTCTGACAGCAGCCTCCTCGTGTCCGGGCCTCGATACAAGTATGCGTCCGCCGCAGAGGAGCTTTTGTTACGTTTTACTTTTGTCGTTTTACTACAGCCGGAATATTCGGGCGTGTTACTTCGCTGGACGGTCGGAAGTTTAGTGTAGTTATAGTGAGGTATGTTAGTAGCGGGTGCGTGATATTGTACTTTACCGAGAGACAAGTGGCCGCAGTCCACTGCAGGTGCGATATAAAGGCAGCCGCATGTAACAAAATAGAAAGATTCAGACTACCAGATCAAGAGACGAATGAGATTCGTAGTGTCCTTATTAGATTAGGTAGATAGTTGGCCTTTGTTTATACACATCAAGCGCAGTTTGAAGAGATTCTTGCGATTGTTAGTGACAAGATACATTTGGTGATGGCAGTAAGGAAGAATATACTAAATATTTGACTATTGCAGATCGCATACTCGAGACTATAGTCGATACGGAAATAAAATAAATAAGTAACTTCTACGACTAGCTACTTTGTACTCATACGAACTAAAGTTACAATAAATAAAACTACAATAATTTATTACCGTATCTTCTTTGAGAATAAATAATACTTACGATATCAGATCTACGAGAACTAATATAGTGAACGAGAGATTATTAAAGCATGCTGCCCATGCACTTAGAGATGTGTGCCTGCATAAATACCGATATAAATACGGAGACACTGAGTATTGTAATAAATTAATATACTGATACACGTAGTGCTTACTTAATATAAATATCGTCATTACACCAACAACAGCAAACTTGAACAAATATTATTCTCAAGCGCTACTTGTATGACTAGCGAAAAATTTGGTTTCATGTAAATACAGATCTGTCATTCTAAGAACCAACTGATTATGCGGTTTCTTGACTTCGCATGTCTCCTCCTTGTCGACTCGAATATCTCCAGCGGAATATTGGGTACTGCATAATAAATACGCTGTGTTAGTGAATGGCTGCGACCTGCTCATAATCATCATTCAATTACAACGTCTTATCGTAATTATGACGTTTATACTTTCGCAAAAACATATAATACAGCGATATCAGTTTACTTTTTATAGCTGGATTTAAGTACTGAAGAGGCACGAAGAAGTATATTTACAATAAAATAACAAAGACTCTACATACATTAATAAATTAATCCGCTGAAGCAACAGTAGCTGGTTTGCCATTCTCTTTAGAAGTACTACAGGTCTCTGTCAAGTATTGTATCGTGTGGTAGTGGGAGTAATTCAAAGATACTCACCTGAACTTACAGCATTTCTGCAGCGCGCCGAGGTGCAGTAAGCCTCGATAACTTTTAATATTAGAGCGTCCTCTTCATAAGAATTGGACTTTCGTTGATGTGGCGCATAAGGGTGCGTCGGCCCAATGTTTTCGTCGGAACCCACCGTGAAAGATTGCGGTCTGAGAGGCGGTGCTGGCCGTAAACATGTTATGCTCCACCCTACGTGTGCATGAAACGAAATATTACAGTAAGAACTCCAATCTTATTTGGCTCTAACATCTAGGAAAATATTGAAGCAGATACTCGTTATCAACGAGAGGGGGGACCAAGAACGTTTACACAAGGTAATAATTAACATGTTATCTTCTGTGGACATAAGTATATAATTTATTATTAACTTCAGTAAAATATTTTCTAAGAATAATCACTAATTATTTGGATAAGAGGCATCTATCAGCCACGAGTTAATTGCATGAACATCTTCAAGCCTAATTAATCTCAAGATATCGCACACGTGTGATAAATAATAAAAATAAATTACCTTTATTGCTGTAGTTCGAGCCAGCCGTGTCGATGAAATCCACAGATGAAAACTTTTTACCGATAGGACTTTTATTTGACTTAGCAGGTGATTGGTCAAGTGAGTCACACGAATTTAAGAGCCAGCGCGCCGACTGATTCTTTTGTTTATTTTTTTGCGTTTGTTGCGTATGTTGTGTGTAGCTTTGATGATTGTTGAATGAATGTGATCTTTTATGGTTTGTTAGACCAGACGATAAATCAGAGTTATTGCTGTCGCTCATGGCCATCTGTGAAAAACAAAACGTGTTACTCAATCAAAACTTGTACCAGCTAAGTAAGACTAAGTAGAACTGTAGAGTTAGCAAGTAGATACATTTGTGCAAGTAGTTTTATAGTAATTTACAACTTCTTTAGCAGCATTTGTTCAAACATTTTTAATTATCTTAAATAAGCAAGGATATCTAGCGGACACTCGCCAGCTGCTTCGTCATCAGTTTCCAACATCTGCATTTGTGTAATTATCTGCCGACGCAGTCGTATTCTTTATCCCAGTTCAAATGGGTTTAAAAAATAAGGTATTCAAACACTGGGTTGTTCAATGTGTGTCCGGATATTGGCGTGAGGAAATAGGTCATTAAAGCCTTACCATGCAATATTTTCATCTTAATCGGTTAGTATAATTACATGAGATCTACTTGCATGATTGTTTTTTAGTTAGTATGATGAATAAACACAGGCAAGGATGATCAAGTAAAGCACTGCAACACTGGGGTAACTCTAATGACAGTATTAATCTAATGGTTACAAATCCTCAAGGCAATATTATCTTCAAACCAGTGACACAAATCAGTAGCTCTTTACAAAAGAATAATCCTTGCCTGAGTCGGTGACCACGGTAATGGGTAACTTTGCTTTCATCCACCAGTGTGCGTACAAATCTGACCGATACACCACAAAGCCGCTTTGGGCTTCAGCTAAACCCTTCTGCACTTTTGACAAGTCTTCACTGCGAGACCTCGCCTTGCGCATTTGCAAGTTATTCTCATTCATACATTGTAAGTTTTCCTTGTTAAAAACATCTCGGTTGCGTGGTGCGTTAGCCCGAGACTGCCTCTGCATGTTATTGGTTTCTGGAGTTTCACGATAAATACGCATATGGTAATGTAGGCTAGGCTTTGATTTTTCTGTTATGTTCAAAGTACTCCACTGACTGGGGATCGGTTGACGAACATTCTTCGGAACTTCTATGTGAGTGCTAGGCTTCCTGTACACCCTAGGTGGAGGTTCAGGTTTTAGTCTGATCTCTGGCACGTAGCGTTCGATGTTTCTTCTAATAGAAGTTCGTTTTATTTGCGTTGTTGGTACTGACGGTGACGCAGTAAACGTAGATGTTAAATTCATGTTTGATGAATCCATGACATCGAGGCTGTTCTCTGAGGTGACACTTGTAACACAAGAAGTTCTAGCAGTCGATCCAAATGGCGAAGTGCACCTGCACTGATCTTCATACGTGGCCGCTTCTATTTCAGATAACGTCACTTTCTTTCTATGGTCAGCATCAAAACTGCCTGAGATAAATTGGTTAATGAACCTTTTGAATTATCACAACTCTTGTCGTGGCTATCTGATTCATTTCCTGTGGTACCAGAACTCGAGTATTCGTGCATGTTCAACTCTGGCGAAGCTAAGTTGCAGCTACCTACAACACCTGAGTCAGACGATCGAGGGCTGGGACACACTGATCTGTTACAACATTCACATTTTCTATGCATTTTGTGATTTTCTGATTGAGAGCTCATTCTGTGTATCCTATCATCATCATTTCTATGATAGTTCTCAGTTTCCACCATCGACCTTGACATCGAACGTCTTATTCTTTTGTCTGAATTTAATGAATGCTTTCGGAAAGGCACGTTGGTATTTAGATTAACATTAATTATCTTCATGTTTTCCTCCTCATTTCTAAACATCGGCGGCGGATCTAATATTATAGATTCTATAGGACTGTAACTTTGTTTCGGTGACGGAGGAGCCAACAGTTGTAACACATCAGACGTTAGCTGTTCATCAGCACTTTCTTCTTCAGGCGTATAACTTTCCTCGGTAGATTTCCAGAGTTTCGTGACTGTTTCATTTTTAGCACTTACATTTGGAAAACTCCTTCTTGTTGGCAAAAAATCTTTTTCATCACTGCCAAGTATGTCAATTTGTGTACTTTGATCCATATTAACTAAATCTTCACATGCCATATACGTTCTCACTTCGAAGCTGGAATTCTCAGTACTTTCGGAATGTGGGGCAAAAGGATACAAATTCTTAATTCCTCCTCCTAGAGAAGATTTCTGGTATTGTTGACCACTGTCTATAGTATTTATGGTGTTGTGAGGTTTCTTACTGCCAATAGAGATTCCTTCAAATAGATCACGTGTACAATCAGCCCTGAGTGTTGATTGCGTGTCATCCAAATGCATATCAGAGGCATTATTATCAAAATAACGCACATAACCAAAGTTACTACCCCAACTACTACATGACGATATTGTTCGCGGACTTTCCATAGCATTTTGTCTCAAAATTTTTGAGCAGTTGACTGCTTCTGTATCTGTGCAGCTAGAGCTTGTGTATGACTCAGTGCCGTCGGTTTCTCTATCGCTGTCATCGCTGTCTGAATAATCCGCGTCAGCGCCAATCGTGCCATCATTTTCTATTTTTAGACGTATATGGTTTTTATGTCTCCTTCTGACGGGTAATCCAGTTAACTCGAAAGCCTTAGCCCACGTTCTTTCATGCAGAAGTTTGCGTAACATCTGTCTCGTGATAACTTTTTTCTTTACGAGTCTCGCAAAATATTTGGTTAACGAGTAGTAAGGAGATGCAGAAGGGTAGCTAGGCGGTGGCAACGTGACGTGATAAAGGCTGCGGCGACTAGAGTTGATGCTAGACAACGCCCCTTCAGAAGGAGAGCGCGTCAGCTATACAACCAAAAATAAACCCTTAGTCTTATGTTTTAAACAAAGTATATTCTAGTTTGAGTGACTATTAGACGCGTTCAACATGTCTTTATAATTATGCAAATTGGGGTAACATTTGTAAGCGATACTTACATGTGGCAATGATTGTGGTTGTCCAGGCTCATGAGCAGGGCTGCTGGTGTTGGAGTGTTTTTGTAACAGACTGACCCAATTGTCAGCTTCAGCTCTTGTTTGACACACGGCTACAATCGTGTCTATCATTGGTCCGCCTATTTCAAATGCATTCTTTCTGGTATCTGTATCATCTAATTTAGAGACTGTGATGCCAGTTAGTGGAAGACAACCCTGCAAAAAATTACAATTAGACACTTTTCTGTAGATAAAAACTCCACTCTATTTTGTAGACTTTCATACTTACTTCATACACAAATGCAGACACTCTCTTGCTGACAGAAAGCAAGAGTAATGCTGATGGGAAGAGTACAAGATAACGGTCTTGATGTGAGGGGCCTACTGCTACACTGCCCATATGTAACACATCACCAAGAGATGCCAGTTCACCTCCTGGCCAGCCGCGAACCTCGCCAGTAACCACTTGGAGCTCTAACTCTTTTTGTCGCCGTAATGCAGCACAACCACTCTGAAAATTTTGTATCATAAGGTTTCTGTCTAAATAGAAAAATAGTATCATTTTACCTAGTTAGATAGTTGAAAAAAAATCAGTAAAACATGATAAAATAAAAACAAAAATTTACATGTTAATCTATCAATTAACTTTTATCATAATAGTGGTAAGGCAGCTCAAGACCAATTAGCAAAACATAAGGTTTCATGGCTGCTAAAATCTAATTAATAAATTAGAAAAGTAACACATTTGCCAATTAAGAAGCATCCTTCAGTAATATATAAGCATATATACATACAGCTATATCCTTATACACAACAGATGCTCGATGAGTGTCGCCCCTATCTGGATGTGCTTCATGGACATGCCTAGCGAGCTCCTGTAGCATTGCAGGATATTTCCCCAACCTCCGGAATGGCTTTGATAAGCCAGCTGTCAAGACAAGCACCCCAGGACATACAGCACCAGCTTCTTCCATCCATGTATTCAATTCTTCTCTAAAAAAAACCATAAATTATTTATTTCTCATCTTTAAGGTGTAATAACAGCAAAATGAAATGGTTTATTTTCACTTAAACCACAACTTACTTGTATTTATCCAGAATACAAACTGCTTTTGGATGGCCAGCACAATAACTTTGATGTACACTCTTAATTTTTGGTGCCCATTGTAAAAACAGCCCACCCACTCTTTGATCAGGCCCAGTCTTTGTCGCACATTCATCTAATAATGCCAGGAACTGCTCATGTACTTGAAGCACTTCATTTATATTGCCTGTCAACTGCTTGAATTCATCTCTTGTCAGCCTAAAAATAAACAATAACCACAATGAAATTCATCTATATTAATTGTATATAACACATAATAAATGAGAGCAAAAATTCAATCCATTATAAAATTAAAATAGCTAGTGGTTGGTGCAACTAGAGGCCCAAGTCATCATGCAGGATCACTCTGCGATACAAGATGCATCACCCTAAAGTGGACCCTGTAACTTTGAATTTAAAATATAAACCACAAAAACTTACATTTCACTTTTCTCCAAAGGCTGTAAGAAATTGCTGACAAGTCCCTGCATTTCAGCTACATGAGCCTTCTCAGAGTCTATTATATCTTTGAGAACTACATTTCTGAATGCCTGTATTTCTGATGCTGCTCTTATAGGGGATGTTGTTACACTACCCGATGGATCTGTGATAAAGTTCAGGTTGATAATATATCTGATACTTTTCATTGTTTAGTAATCTAGACAAATATGAGTTAAATAGGTCATTAAGGATACACTCATATTTAATTTTTAGCAATACACAATAATGGAAAGCAGTGATAGATACTTGATTAAACCAAGTGACTTATGATAGTGTATAGTTAACTAAGAAGTTTTCAAATTTAAAATTTTAATGAATGCACATAATATTTACGAAGTTTACTAGACATAAAAGACAAACCTTTATGTTCAGTCACATAGTTGCTTGGGAACCAGCCAGTAGTCTCGCCTAAAGTTCCCTCCCACCATCCACCTTCTTCTTTTTGGGTAACAGTTATAATATCGCCTTTTTTGAAACATAGCTCGTCATTATTTTTTCCCTTGAAAGAATAAATTGCTTTCACCAAGCAATTTTCGGTTGACATTTTATTTATTTTCTAGCACCATGTTCTAATTTCTAGAACGAGAAAAGAAATCCCAATCAGAATGGTTGAATGCTAATCAGGGAGCAGGTTTACATTCATTATGTCGGGCCGCCGGGTTATACCAATACTGTTTCCAAATACGTCCACAATTAGAATTTATGAGTAAATATTTTAATGAGGCACGACAATTTGTTCAGATTGAAATATTTTTTGGACAGCTCACAGAAATAACAGGAAGTGTTGGTGTCAAATCATAAAAAATTGTGTTACACAGCTATAGTATTGGTTACACTGAATAAATTCACTTTGAAATACTTGAATACATCCGAAATATATAACAATAATATGGTATAATAATTCAATAAATGGTTAACAACGTACAAAAACGTAAAATCCTCGATTTTCACGGACTTCCAGTTCCAAAAATAAATAGACCACAGACTAGACTAGAGTGTGAATGCCAAAATAATGACAGCAAATTGAAACTTCTATAGTTTACGGGCCAAATCTAACAGAGCGCTGATAAGGCGCTGGCTTCACGATTGCACGAGACAAACAAATGTAATAGTTATGCAAAATTGCAAGCTATAGTGGGTAAACGTAGGTATTTTACTGTTTTAGGTTTCGCATTTAACTCTTTAGTAAAATTAGTGTCGATTGATTTGGACCACGGTTGCTAACCTACCTAGTAAAACTAGTCCACTTCTTAGCTAGAAGCTAATATCCCTAGTGCTTATGCACATATTTATCGGCGTGATCACAGGTGCACTTTGTATGTGGGAAGCGAGGCTCAAGATCATTTTACAAGGTGAGAAAAAATTAGGCAAATCAAGACAAATAGATAAAAAAATATCCGACACGGGAATCGAACCGGCAACGACCTAACTGCGCCAACCGTGCGAGTTGCAGTATTAGCGCGTAGTTTAATTCAATTTTCAAATATCTAAGTAAGCTGTAGTGTTAAACATAACATCATATTGTATTTTGGTGTGATTTAGAACTTTCAGAGTTCAGAAATACCTACTTCCTCTCTTACCCACATTATAACAAAAGCTGATTCAAAAATAGCAAGTATTGAAATTATTTTGCCAGTCTATTGTAACGTTACGACTTTTAAACCTCAAAGAAGAAAACAGAACTGGGTAGTGTGTAGGGATACATCCATATTTCGGCAGTTGTCTATTCATTTGATTGCTAAGTTTATGAGCACAGAGGTTATAAATAGATCAAATGAATTCAAAAATTTGTCCATCCAGTGATACAAATATTCCATCCAAAACGCGCATATACGAGTTTCATCACAGGTTTCTTCATATCTATTATGGGAAGGATGGTTAGATGCGTTTTAGCAAGGAAAATTTCCAAGACTATCTTTCTAACAGAAGTTTTAGTACAAATTTAATAAATGAAAAATTACATAAAAAATATAGGTAATGCCTATTGCTTATCTGTAATTACAAATTATTAGATATATTATTTACATTATCTTAAAATGTAAGAATGTTATTTATTTATTTAAATTATTATGTATTGAGATTTATTATTACAAAAACTCATCACACCAATCTTTCAAACACTGATAACAGTCTGCAGATTGTTTAGAGTTAGCATTGCATGTGTCCTTCAGCCATTCTTGGAAAAGCTCTTTATCTTTCTTTAATACAAGAAATTGTCCCAACACCGTGTAGGCCTGTAAAAATAAGGAAAAGTTATTTAAACATATTGTTTGATAGTGGAAATAATTAATTCCAGTTTACTCCTTTTTCCCATAAGAAAATAATATAATACGGTCATGGTAGGCTTTCATGTTCACAATCTAAAATTAGCTATGACTTAATTTTGAATTGCTTAAAGGATTCGATATTTTGCTGACTATCATATTCCTACAGCAACTTGTGAATGTAGTGTGCGTGGTGTTTATGAAGGAAGCAATAATGACATAACAATAAAGTAAAGAAGTTGTATCACATAATTATTTTATTTACAAAACAAAGAACTAAGAAAGCAGCATATAATCTAGTTTAGACAGTTAAATGTAACCAAATAGATTTTATTGCAGGGTGTCCTTGAAAATGTTGAAATAAATAAGTAAGTAGATAACCACCATGTAAAATTTCAAAAGGTTCATTGGTAATGTTTGATAAATTGTGAACTGATAGAAACCGGCACAATTACGATATGTAATAAATACTGTTTTACATAGGCAGTTAAATCTAGCCATCTAGTCAGAAATTGCTGCTTTATCAAATATACGGTTTTTTAAAGTACTTTATAAACATTGCACAGCCCACTAACCTTGTCGAATCCCGCCGTTTCCAATCTCTTTCCCAATACCTCACCGACGCCAGCTAGCTCAGTTACAGGTTTTTCTCCCATAGGCTCAGCAACAAAGTTTCTATGTTTTTGTGATGTACTCGACATTGTGGCAGAGTAATTTTAATTTCTTCAAGTAAAATCAATTAAATGATCGTAATAAACGCAACAACTTGACACTCCTTTGAATGTAGATATCAATAACGATGATTAATCTAACGGTAAACGTGCAAACCAAACAATATTGAAGTTGAAGTCTTGAAGAGTAAAGCTTTAGGGTTGCCAAATTAAAAATTTTAACTACGGTATAAAAACCATACATAGTAATTATTTCTGTTCTGTTTTTTTGTTGTGTTCTGTAGGAGCTTGTGAGACATTATATGCCTTTGACTAATTTAAATAGTTTTGGGGTCAATAATGAATTCTATGTCGTGCTCAGAAATCAGATTCCATATAATGTCAATTTTTAGGGATAAAATAACCTGTACCTCTAGTAATTTAGGTTTTTCTTTGTTAATATTTTACTCTGACAACACAACAGAATTAATTGTCAAAATATAAAATATCTGAATCTGTCCGATTCAGAACAGTCAGATAAAAGTCACAGAAGTCTGTAAACTAAAAAATAAAAACAATTCAAAAAACTGATCGTCGAGCGCTACTACAGCCGAAACTGTAGACTATACGTTAATTATAATACAAAAACGAATGAAATGGAGATTGCAAAAAATGAATGTATCATTTGTATTTATAGCACTACACAGTTATTGATTAATTTTCATGAAAACTGATCAGACCATGAGCAATTTTCAGCACCTTGTTTTCATGGTGGAATACCAAACTTGATCTTCTAGGTATGTGATCATTAGTGCTTATTGTGATATCCTTTTATCTCGCCATGGGGTCTGCATTTGAGGAAAGTTTATATCGCGCAGTATTAGCCGAAGATCTGGAAGCGATATCCCGAGCGCTTTCTAAAGGTAAAATTTATTTTTAAGATATTTTCTAATAAATTTTTATTTTTCTGTTTAATTCTCCTTGTTAATGTTTGTTGGGAATAGTTAATGACTACTCATTACTCATTGCAGGTGCTAATCCTAATACAATTACTGTACAAGGTAAAACTAGTTTGGGTGAAGCTGCGAATAGCGGAAATATTGATATTGTAAAGCTATTAATTAAAGCCAGCGACTCTAAACGACATGTGCCCGTACCATATGTGGGGTCTCCTAAAAAGAGACAAGTGAAGTGCCATAAGCGCAAGTTGAGACATCATGGGCCACATGATGAGACTGTTGTTAAATGTAAAAGCATGAATGATAGAAATTTTAAAGATTTGAATTTGGGTCAAGAGACTAGGGTAAAAGGTAGTCAAAAATCTGAAACCAATCAAGGGTACTTTGTGTTTACACACAGTGATGGGTCCAGTAGTGATGAGAGTAAGATTGGGAGTTTGAAATCTCCTTTGACTCCTTCACCTTTAACACCATCCCCACAGGATTTAGAATGGGATGAAGACATAGGAAATGTTGCACCAACTACAAGTGAAGATGAATCCTGGACTTCTATGTATAAGTTAGTATAAATACTTAATTTACTATGTATTTTGAATGGTTTCCACTTTGTTCTGGTCAAAATATGTCTACCATTTACATTTTGTAATCCAGATGGTATGCTGCTATACTGGAGTCTACAGGGGCAGCTATTGCTTCAGCCTCAGCTATGTTCACTGCTGGAATTGATCAGCATGATGCATTTATGCATACCCCACTACATTATGCTGCAGAACAGGGTCATGTTTCTGTGGTCAAATTGTTGATTGAAGCAGGTAAACATTTGTACTATCAAAGAAAATGTCTTATGAATTTATCAACTGAAATATTTTTTAATTAAGAACTAGTTTTTCGTTTTGCTAAAATAATGTTGCTAAATACTTATTTTTACAGGGTGTAAAATAGATGCTGAAACTGGAGATGGTGTGACAGCTTTACATGTTGCAGTTATCAAAAATTATGTTGATATTGTGAAGATACTTATAAATTCTGGGAGCAATGTTAACCATAAAACCTATGATAGTATGACACCTTTGCATTTTGCAGCATCAAGAGGTTTCTTAGATTTGGTAAAATAACATTCTTTTTAATGTTAGTTGCGAGTTACTTTATGAAGGATGATTGAAAGGTATTAATGAAAATAATTTTTTTTTAGGTAAAAATTCTAGTCAGTAATGGTGCAAGTTTAGAAGCAAGAGATTCTAACGAGAGGACAGCACTGTACATAGCAGCTGGTCGTGGGCATATGGATTTGATGAAATATCTGATTGATGCTGGTGCTAATGTAAACAGTGAAGAGATCCATGGTAAAACTAAATTTGAATTGTGTTAACTGATTATGATGTTAATGTGTCTGCACATACAATATTTAATTTTGCAGAATAAACCACATTGTTAAAATGGTGTGTAATGTTTATTTTAGGATATACACCTCTTTGTGAAGCTGTATGGCAAAAGTATGCTGTGGGTGTGGAACTTTTATTGTTATCTGGTGCTAGAATTACTCACTCTCATAGGCTTTTACATAATGCAATAATTCAAAGACAGGTGAGTTACTCATGATTTGACCATTCAAAATTATTAATATGTTGTTTAAGGATACTATCGACACATGCAAGAAAAAATACTTTCTTTTTATTGTCAAGTAAAATTTCGTAGTAACTGATTTATTAAACATTTTTTTTTAGATGGAAATAGTAAAAATGCTTACAGCTTACGGTGCCGGGATAAACTTGTATAACGACAATGGTGATACGCCACTGCTTTTGGCGGTACGACTATCACAGCCTGCAATCGCTAAAATATTATTATGTAAAGGTATGTTATTGCAATCTGTGTAAAAACATTTTTTGTCTGTTGTGGCTATAAAATGTGGTGGTATAAAAATAATAGTTCTAAATGGTGATGAATGTTATTTATGTAATATATATATTTATTTATGTTACAGGTGCAAATGCTAATTTGTTAAACAGTATAACAGGTGCTAATGCATTGCACATTGCTGTTGAAAGTGTAGACTCCCCTGAAGATTTCGAAGAATTGTTGAAATGTTTAATAGACTACAAGATTGATTTGAATGCATCAGCTCTAACTGGCGACACTGCTTTAAACAGGGCTTTGTTATTACACAAGTAAGTTTCAGGATATTTCATTTTATAATTTAAAGTAATATCTTATAGTTTAAAATTTGTTATTTGTGGCATTGTTATTATTTGTCTAATTTAAATCACTTCTATAGCTAAAAGATTTCAAACTTTTGGTTTCAGAGATCCTGCAGCAGTTCTCCTTATTCGATATGGCGCAGACGTGAATGCGTGTGATCTACATGCTTGTGGTCTAGACAATTTATCCATAGCAAGTAGAAGAAGGTCGAATAGCTTAGCATTAATGTTATTGAAGGCAGGTCATTATATTGTGATCCCAGATAAAGATACTTTAATACCGGCATCAGATTATACAAAGTGTTGGTTATATAATGTTTGTAGGGAACCACTTACTCTTTCCGATCTCTGTAGAATTAGAATTAGATACTTAGGTCAAGGTACATCAACAACATTGTACCGCTTCATATCTTCCCTGCCTCTTCCAAAGAGTTTAAAAAGATACCTTATGATGGAAGATGAAGGCACGGAATACTTTGATTTCACTGCTTAAAATTTATTACTACACTCATACCATGTCACCAGCAGTTAGTTTGTTTATGACATTTGAAGTGTGGGAGCGGCATGCTTCGGCACGAATGGGCCGACTCGACCGGAGTAATACCACGGCCTCACAGAAAACCGACGTGAAGCAACGCTTGCGTTGTGTTTCGTCGTGTGAGTGAAGTTACCGGAGGCCCAATTACCCTCCCCCTTCCCCAATTCCTGAATCCCCAACGATCTTCAAACTCCTAATTCCCCAAAAGGCTGGTTACGCACTTGTAACGCCTCTGGTGTTCTGGGCGACGCCGATTGCTTACCATCAGGTGATCCGTCTGCTCGTTTACTGGCTTACGCCATAAAAAAAAACATGGCGAAAAGTTTTAATTAGCAGTTAGTTTTTTTTAAAGGGGGATAATCATCGAATGACTTCTCCCGCCTGGATGAGGCGGGAGGGAGTGTCAGACTCTTACTGACTAAAAACCACCCCGTTCCTACTTCTGCACTTCGAGCCGGAGTCCCGGTTATCCGATAAGTTCTCTAGGTTTTTGTGTCCAATGTAAAATGAGTTAAAAATCTGGGATTGACATCTGAGAAAAACGAATATTATCTATATGCATTTTTATTTAGTAAAATTACACAGTAGTACAAAGGTGTACTTAGGGTAAAATACAAAATATTTATTGATTAGAATATTATATACTATACTTAATGTGACACAATATGTTTGTCCATAAAATCTTCAAAATGAGTTGCAATTGTTTAAAACACCTAGTAGTAAGAGATAACACTTGTTTTTTAAAAACACATGCAATAATTATGTAGTGAATGAGCTGCAGAATTATGTACTTGCAAACCAATCGGTAAGTACATGGTTTTAGGTTGTTTATTATTATTATATCATAGATTTGTTGAGTATTATGTCATGGGAATTCTGTGGGTACAACACTATGTATACTTGATCAGCAGCTCATTTCCTTTTCAAAACTGTGAAATGTTCAAATAATGTAAATTGTTTGAAGTAAGAATCTAGTCCTAAACTAAGACATGTATTAATACAATTAGTAATAAAATAAATGATATGAATTCTGATAATTATAATACATAGAATAAGGCAACACTAAGTTGCTTTTAAGCCTACATATACACAGGGTGAGTAAATTGTAACATACCTATTCTGTTGTTAATACAATGTACATATATACGAAATTGGTGAGTTTTAATTAACTACCCAGAATTATCGAAATTCCACAATATATAAAAGTTTTGGTAAAAACGTGAGCCATCCAGATTAGAGACTAAAAATGATAATTTATTAGTTCACAAGAAATAGTAATAGTAAGGACAATATTCTATTGTGTAACCATTCATAATTACTAAAATTCATTATTTTGTCTATCATAAACATCATATTTTCAAAATTGTGATTAGTGACTAAATTATTGTAGAATAAGTAGTGTTAAAAAAGTTAAATATAAATTCTACATTAGACAAATACTTCTTTTTAAGTGAATACCTCTAATGGCAACTTTTAACTTATTTAAATCACAATGACATATATCAAGTTCACTAATCTACTAAATTTGACAAAATAAAAAGTAAAAAATTGGGAATGTTAACGCAAAATAAACATTTTTAAACATTAATAACAGCAAAAGATAAAGCACATTTAAAAAAACCTAATATACATACAATAACATTCTATTTAGGCAAAGTTAATAATGCAAAAAAATCTAAGGATTAACTCGTCGAGTACCGGTTTTATAGACACAATTAAAGAACAATAGGTCGCGGTCACCGGTGACCGCTTGGTGTTTGACAGATTAAAATTCCAATATTATAACAATAAACACTTCACTAGAAGTATAATCTAGCATTAGGTGTATAATGATTAATATGTTTAAGCCAGTTTTCGTAAATCACTCCTTAGAGCCAGACATATAATCAGATGGACAATGACCTTTAATGTCCTGCATAGTGTTCAGTTTAGGATATGTCTCCATTAAAAAATTCACTAGAGCAAAGTGCTTGTTTTCTACTGCTTTATGAAGAATGGTTTGCCCATCTGCATCTTTTTCATCAACACAAGCCCCAGAGTGAATAAGAAATTTAATTGCTTCAATTTTACCTAAAACAATTTCAAAAGTTAACTGTCCACTCCACAATAGTGTTTCAGTACAATGGACATGATCATTACCACATGGAATTGCTAATTAATATTGCTTAAGATCTTATCTCAAATTCTATTGTGTATTGAGTTGCATTCATTGTGATTAATTGATAAGGCATTATAGTTCACCTATAAATTATTTGATTTAATTGCCAGAGACATGATTTAAAGACTTATTGGGTATTTGAATTTTCTATTTTCTATGTAATACAAATGAAATAATGAATGATTACCTGCAGCAGCAGCTTTGAGAAGGGGTGTAGCTTGTCCACTCTTAGTTTTTGCATCAATCAGTGCTCCATTTTGCAGTAATATCTTACAAATATCCACATGTCCTTTACGTGCAGCGTAGTGCAATGGTGTATATCCAGAGTTATCTGGTGTGTTAACTATTCCTTTGGCATTGTCTGCCTTAGCAATTAGAGACTTAACTCTCTCTTCATCTCCATAAAAGGCTGAAATGACATTATATTTGTTTAATATTGCTTAAACTGTCAAACACCAAGCGGTCACCGGTGACCGCGACCTATTGTTCTTTAATTGTGTCTATAAAACCGGTACTCGACAAGTTAACTGTCTGGAAGTAAGTAGGCAATCTTATCAGAAAATGTACAAAATGAGATAGTGCATATCATGGGATGGTAGTTATTTGATAAATACATAGTTAACTTGTACTCACTTTTTATTGGGTAAGATTTAGTAATATGTCAATATAATTACCTGCATACCACAAGCCCCTCTCCCAATGCATTTCTGATAATGTTTGAGTAACCGATGCATTTGCATGAGAGCAGTTAGAGTGATCACAATTATTTCCATGGTCCATTTTTATATAATTATTTGAAAATTACTAAAAATAATACAAAGGGCAGATATATGGAGCAAATTTATATAATGCGTTGAAGGGTCCAAGTGATCTCGGTTTCACCAGTGCTTGAAACTACTTTGTAACCCAACTGGTTCAATGCATTCAGAGTCTCAAGTACATTGCACTTGATGGCAACACCGTTAACAACTACTCCTGATCCTGGAAACTTTTTAGAAAGAGCTCTTATCTCTTCTTCTCCTAATCCAAAAACAGAGCAATCATTTGCATGTAGAGATCCTTTAATAGCAATATAAACAACTGCATCTTCTTCAATCAAGGGTACTGACGCCAAGTTGCATGGAGACAGGTTTTGACTGCCCTTTGTGTCCATAGTACAAAATAAAAGGAACTGATCAAGATTTAAATATCAATAAGATGGCAGCTTACACTTCGTCGTCTTTTGTTTGATGTTGGTAATTCCCCAAGTGCATAGCCTCTTTGCTGAAATTGTTAATATTATCTTGTTCCACAATGATTGATGGTTCTGGTTCTGAAAACTCTTTCCTCATAGTCCACATATACTCATTGTAATCTTGTTTGACTGCTGTGGAGCTAGACGCTACAACCTTGTAACCCAATACCTGTAATGTTATTGATTAATTAAACCTGTGACAATATGACTCATAACTAGGTAGGTACATGAATCAGTGAGTTGTTATGTAATTAAATAATATTAAATCATTGACTGGATAGTATTTGTAATAACAAACCTCCAGAGCACTCAAAATAACACAAGGATGTTGTAAATAAACAATAGTTGAATCGTCGCAGTAGCCCCCACATGCGAATCTCTTGAGTTGTTCTATGTCGCCAGCTGAACATAAACAGTATTTATGACTATAATAACATAAACAAACATTCATAACAAAATAAATAAAATGAGAAGAGGACTTTCGTTAAAATCTTGCCGATTATTAAGCCCACTTGTGAATACACCATTATTTGTCTCCAATTCTCATTTTACTTTTCTTAATTTGTCAACATCTACCTTTCAAGCCGGATACCAAAACACGCCACGGGTTTTTATGCCCATATGATGCTAAATTACCTCTAATCAGAATGTAGGGCATTGAGAACGGATATAATTTCACTTAGTCGTATACAGGTGAAGAACAATATAAATGAACAAATTATTCAGTTACTTACGGCTGAACACAAACAGAAATTGCGTTGTATTGCGCGATGCAATCCCGAGTTGACAGCTTTTGGTCCAAATAACGTTCAAGAATAAACAGGTAAGTTTATCATTACTACAGGATAGCAGTACACTTATTCCATAAGAGCAAAAAAGAGCGAGGTAACAATCATTTCATGCTCATACTCGAAAAGTAATTGACGTGTACAATTACAGACAGTGCGCTCAGTATATTTTGACATTTTGCTAAAAGGCCAAGTATTCAATTTTTGTTGGTGAATTGCCCAACACTACACAAAATCACTTACCAGTGGTGTATAAAGATACAAATCCATTGGACTTTCTAGTTTGGGGAACGGAAAAAAATCATGTAACGAATATTATTTTATTCTCAGAACTATCAAAATACGTAGGTACCTATTCAGGTATGGTAAGATAACTGGTAGGGACCTATTCAGTATGAAGATGATTACATTGTATTTATTTGATACAATTTTAGAGAGCTTGAAATCTCATTCGGTATGGACCCATATACTGTTTGAGGAACTCGACTAATTTCAAGCCATGCTAGAGGCTTATATTCATGAGCAGCATTTCGCGATACACGACGCGGCGATTGGCGCGGTGTAAGTCAATGTCGAGTTCTTTGTCAAACAGTTACGTACTTCTTGTTTTTTTGTCAACGCTCGATACGAGATGTCGCTACTTGAAGATTTGATTACCTGCCTGACTGCTGCTTCTACTACGCTTTTTTTTTAAATGGCGAAATTCATCGAATGACTGCTCCCGCCTGGGCGAGGCGGGAGGGAGTGTCAGACTCTTACTGACTAAAAACCACCC